TGCCGGAATCTGGGGCGCGCCCGCATCGAGCAATGTGACCTCGCCATCGCAGAGTCAGTACGGCGGTGGCTCAAAGTCGACGGGTGGTGGTAGTTCGGCGTTTGATGATTTGCTAGGCTAAGTTGGGATGGATGATTACTTGCCTTTTTTTTATTCTTCCTTTTCCCCTTTTCTACTTGGTGTGCTATTTTCTTTCTTGGGGTCAATGTTATACCGTAGTACGATTTGCTTTTTGCTTCAATACTTTTCTTCTTGTTTGTCATCTGGAAAAACATCTCGAGAGATTTTCGCATTCTTCTTCTTTCGTGTCGCTTACAAAATAGCAAGCATATCCTTTTTCTTCTTTGTTTCTCATTTCTTGTGGTTTCCTGTTTGTGTCTATACTTGGGAGATTACTTATGTTGCTTTCGCTTCGCTTCTGTTGCTTAGATGATTCGGAAGGAGGGAACGGGGGGGGGGGGAGAAGGAGGGAGATGAGGGGGGGGTGTGTTGAGATACAGGAAAGCAATGGATGATGATGTTGGCTAGCTTTCAGGTTGAGTCTTGCTGTGTAGATGTTGTAGACTTCCAAGCTTTGTGAGTGTTGTGCCGTAGAATTAAGGGGTTCTCATCCAACAGCTACCTTCCTGCTTGTGCGGGGTGGAGGGGGGGCCTAGATATAGTCCCGAGTCAAGCCCGTGGATTTTGCTTAACTTGATGCCCGGGCCAGGGACACATACAGAGGTAAAGGAAGATGAAGAGATGGAGAGATAGATAGACCGCGGCGTTCAATGATACATATGTAATACATCTACCCCTCCACTTTCCAGTGGGGCGTGAGAATGAATAGATATGACTACTAGACTGGTCATCTGTCCATTTTCTATTTGAGAATAGAATATACAAAAGGGGAAACCAAAGCCTCGAGAATGCCGGTTCATGCACACACACACCGTGTTTATCATTGGTGAGAGATATAACACTACAATTGTCCGTGGACAGAATCAAAATAGACACAAAACGAAGTATGACGGTTTTTCTCCCACGCTAATAAAGAACTTTATTGCCAAACAAACTGGAAACTTAAACACCAGGGTAGTCGGGAAAGAAAGCAGAGAACGAAGGATTGATATCATAATACCCGTGTATGAATTGTACCGTATGCGTTGCGTGTGGGAAGTGTTGCTAAGCGATGATGAGGAGTGTAAGAGAAAAGAAACAAAATATATATTTGAGATCACAAAGTTCCAGCCGGGGAACGAAGAACAATAATATAGCGTAGTAGGTTATGATATGGGGTGTCAGTAAGTAAAAAGATTGGGAAACAAATATGCAGGATGGAATTATGGATAACCAGCTTCCTTTCTTTGTCTTTTGTTCGCTCCGTCTCTCAAGACATGGCCAGGTTTGACTGGGGCCGGGATGGAGGGAAATGTCAGAAAAGGGTCTTGGGGGAAAATATTTGGGAGGCCGTTTCTCTTAGTACCGTACCTTGGTCGAGTACGTAGACAGGGCAGGTAGGGAACCGGTGGGGGGGACATATACAGTGGGGGAATTAAATTTAACAAGCCTGAATGTGACTGTTCTTCTCGGTCGGGACGTCAATGCCCTGCTTTTCTGATGCGCTCAGATGTGACAGGTTCGAATCGGCGTTGCCACCGCTAAGCGACGACGACTTGGGAGCACCTTCTTCCCCTTTCTCTCCGTTCATGGCGGCTTCACGAGTTGCTTTCGGAGGGTCTTGTTGCGGTGCCTGTTGCTCGTTCGTAGCAGATGGTATCGTTTGTTGATGAGAGCTTCGATTCGAGGCCGGATCATGGTACGTATGCTGATGATCCTCGTCTTCATCTTCCAGATCAGGCTCGCCGTTCAACGACGTCAACCCGCCTTCGATATCACGGAGCAGCCGGACGAACTCCTCGGGAACCAGTCCACTCTCGCCGGTCCGGGGATCCTCCGCTACCAGCCAGCCCTGACCGTGCCGGTATGACACGAAGATCACCTGCCCCTCAGTCAGAGGCAGCTCATTCTCGTGCTCGCGTGTGAAATCAAAGAGCGCAACCGCCTTGCCGTGCATCTCTTCATCTGGACATCCCACCGCAAACTGAAAATCACGCGAATACCGATGTGTTTCATAATCGTCCTCGGATTCGAAGTCACCCTCGTGTCCATAGGACTGGTCATTACCGTAATCGCCCGCTCGGGAATACCGGCTTTCGTTAGCTGGATAGGTGACAAACTCGCCCCCGGGGCCATCGTCCATATCATCATGGTCGTCGTCATTCACATAGTAAGTCTCGCTACCATCCGGATTCATGCTGACGAGCGTGCCCCGTTCGGCGTCATTCTCATAATATACACTTCCATGTGCACGATTGAACTTCCGGCTCTTGCGCCCATTAGAATCGGTGCCAGTGGACTTGTTCTTTCGGTGATGGGGTGTGGAGAAGACTGGGCTGTGCAGGTCTTCGTCTTCGCTGTAGGGCGGGCCATCGCCAAAGGACATGGCAGGTAGCTGCTGATGCCCGTAACTGTGATCAGTGCTCCAAGGGCCCATAGACCACTGGCCACGCGAGCTATCCCACGGAGCCGGAGGGTCAGACAGGCGTCGTGGCTCACTGGCCGGGGTGGATGCTATAGATGCACGAGGAGGCAGCGGACCATAATGGAGGGGATGTATGGGTGGGTATGCAAAATCGCGCACTAAAGCATATGACAGGCTGGAATGAAAAATGGGAAAGACATGTGACCCTGGTCGCGACCGGTTGTGTGAAGCAAGCGAGACATTCGAATGTGTTGAGAGGCGCTCACGGGCGTATGAGGAAGAGCGTTGACGGCCCGGCCGTTTAGCTGAAGCATCCGTAACTATCGGAGGCAAGACCGCGAGGTTCGCAGATGACGCCGCCTGCTGCGGCTGAGGGGATGATGCCGCAGAAGCCATGGCTATTGAATGCTGGTCTTATGTGGAGACGGTTCAGCGCGCGAGAATTGTGATTGCGTGTCGAGAATGTCGTGTGAAGTGATGTCAAGTCGAATGTTATAACCCAGGGAGGAAATGAAGGGGAGGCTCAAAAGACTGGTTCGCCCTAGCTTTGCATCGCGATCGCCCGCCCACTGAAGTTCAACTACCAGCCTGCGTTCAAAGAACGTCTCTTGATGTTGACCCGATCAGACAGGGAACCGGGAGAGAAGCGTGCGGACCGAATTGGTGGGAGGGCAGGAACTCCTTGCGTATAAGCACGATGCAAATCGAGTTGGTGGAGGAGGCTGCGCCGAGCAGGATTGTCCTAATTCGAAACCACGGAGCTGAGCAAGCGATGAACGATGGGGTCCTAGGCGCCAGAGAGGCGAGGTGGTATCAATCGGGTTGCTGGAAGGTCCAGTGAGAGTCGGCGGCGCAGGGCAGGCAAGGCGCGGCTATCAATCGCAAAATACCACAGCGATCTTCACAATCCAGACTGCTCCCCTATGTCTCACATAAGCGATAGTAAGTTAATTGGTCACGGCAGTGAAGAGGTTGTCCAGGCCAGACAATTGAAACGAGACAAGAATTTGTGGACAGGCGCCCAGGTTTGGGGAGGTTGTAATGAAGCAGAGTGGCAGGAAGCTTTTTCGACCGGGCTTGGTGTCTCGGTGTACCGCGCTTGACAGTCGAGTGGATTGGATGGTCGAGGGAGGGTAGAACTGGGGATGCTAAATTTAGCAACGAGGGTAGGGAGGAAAAACGCCACTTTTAGAGACAGCGATTACTAAAACCCATGGGACGCCGGAGGAGAAAGCCAAAGAATTCTAGGCGAGAACCGGGGGGGATGAGAAGGGGGGAGAAGGAGGGGAGGAAAAGAGAGGAGAGGGGAGAGGAGGAGGGGGAAAGTGGGCGCTTGTAGATGACACCACCTGCAGGACAAGAAGGCAGAAAGCAGAGAGCAGAAAGCAGAAACACACAGACTGAGACTGACAGACAAGAGGATAAGAAAGAACTAACTAACTTAAAGGATGGTGGAGCGAGTGAGGGCGAAGAAGGAAGGGCAGAGGCCAGCGTCGGAGATTACCTTGCCTAGTGTGTAGTTTTAGTTAATCGATGCGTTAAGGATCACCGAGGCGCAGTTCCGGGGAGAGGGAGGGGGGGGGGGGAAAGAAATGTAGGGAGGGAGACTCACGGGTCTTTTTCCGCCCTCTGCTCTCTTAAGGATCAATCAATCAATCAGACAACACGGAAACACGTTTCAAAAAGAGAGAACTCTTCATGCAGACAAGCCACTCTGTCTGTCTTTTTGCAACATTGCCGCGCGGTTGATCTGGGATCATTCATGATAAGTTAATCCGGAGAGAGTGAAGAGTGAAGACTCGCCGGTAAGCACGTGACAGTCCACGCGTGGCTTAGCGTGTTTCAGGTCAATGATGCCTCAGGCGATCACTGTTTGGAATACACTGCCTCAGGTTTCATCCTTGCTTCCTTCCTCCTTCTTTGAGTCACAGTACATACAGTACCTGCCTACCTACATACCACACCATCACCATCGCTACAAACATATCTACCTATGCACAGCCAGCACATCCAACACAACGCCCCCCTACAGCAAAGGCCAAGTTCGAGCGGTATGCCAGCGTACGCCAGCGGGAATTCTTGGCGGTTCTCTTTCTCCCTCTGGCTACATCTTGTAACATTCCAGCCTTATGGTGCTACGCTACCGCCAGACTAAATACCCACGATAATACCACATTCTTGTACGAATTTACTTAGAAGGAGATCTTCAAAGAGAACAAAATTCATAAAGGTTAAATTGTCTATTGATCGAATCAAGGAAACTAAGATAGCACCAAGCGATCGTGCTCGTGTTGCTCAGCCAGCCGAGCAGCAGGAACAATAAAGAAAGAATGGCCTTCAACAGGTCACAATTGTCCGATCTACCATGACCTTCAGGGGGTCTCATGCTCGACTCTCGATCGCTCTCTCCTCCCGGAATATGCAAGGGAGAGCATACTTGTGCAAAAGCAAGGCCCCGAAGTCAAGAATAGCACACTCAAACCGGTGTACTGCTTGGATAAATGGTCTTATAGATCGTCAAGAAGGTGGTCTTGGAGGCTGGCTCGGACGGTGTGCAGGCTGGCTGGGATGATGCGGAGGCTGGCGCTGTCGAGGATGGCGATGGCACAGGCTGGCTGGATTCACCACCCACGGCTGGACGAGAACCCATGATCTCAGCAAATTGCGATGGGATCGAGGCCCTATCCAAAGGTTGGTCTTCCACATAATCTGCAGCTCCAGCCTTGACGTACGTATGCGTCGCAGCACTGTCCACAACATCCACGTCGATGCAGGTGGTGTAGATCTCCTGCTTGCCGTTGGGCAGCGTGTCCGTCACACCAGGCGCAGTCGGCCAGTCCCAAACCCAATACATGGTATACGGCTTGCCGGACGGCGCATTCGCGGGTAGCGCGATATCCTGCTGACACCACAGATCGGCGCCCATGGTCTGGTCGGCCACGTGAGGAAACTCGGCCTGGCGATGCTCGGAGATATTCCCGGAGTTGATCTGGTAGCACCGGCCGTCATCGAAGTTCTGTTCCGAAAGAAGCACGCCTCGTCGGTCGCCCCCCGTGCCGTCGCGGTTCCAGACGCGGTGGACGTCCAGGAGCTTCTCGTCTGCCTTGGGCTCGGTGGTCCCGTACACGTATACCGTGCCCCGGTTCGGGGGCTTCCCCGGCTGCGTCCCGGGAAGGGTCACATGGCCGTTTTCCTGGAAGCGAAGAGCGATGGCCGCGCCCGCGCTGGCCTGCAGTCGGGGGTTTCCTTCAGTCTGTTGGTACAACTGCTGGCTGTCCTTGCACATCTTGTCGGTGGGAAGGATCTCGCTTTGATTGGCCCGGCCGTTGGGAGGGATAAGATACGTCATATCGGTATCGCTGAAGCCAGAGGCGGTCCGCTGGACATTGCCGCGGGGGTAGCCAGTTGCTCCGACGAAGGTTCCATTTGGCGCGATGACCGTCAGTTGTTCTACCCAGGAGTGTGCGTTCGCAGTCGACAAGCCCAGGGCGAGCAGTAGCCCCCCCAATCCCGTGCCACGGATGAAGAGCATGATTGCGTCTTTGTTTCTGAACGCTTCGTTAAATTGTTGTTCTTGTGAGGAATAGCAAGTTGAGACACCGGCCAGCGGGGTTGTCTATCAAGAAAACTTGGTGGTTGGTTTCTGTGTGTGGTCAGTGGATGCAATGGTGGTTTGTAGAGGGCAGGGGTGATTCATACATAATTTATAGCCTCATTGTGACAAGAAGGGTTTTATGTATCTTCTCTTGTCGTCCAGCTCGCTGGAGTGTTCCACTCAAAGACAATAAACTGATCGCGATGGACAATGGCTATCTAGCGGAGAATCACAGCATACAATAAAACAAACACAAAGGAAACGGGAGTCATTGGATGTTAACAATAACATTGAAGGAGAGTGCCGGTTACAGATATTGTCGCCCTCCGGGGCCTTATGATCAAATTCACTCCCCAAAAGAAATTAGGAGTCAAAGCAGCTGTCCAATACAATCCAGTCGTTTGAAACGAAAGAGAATGAGGAAATTCGGCCAAGCTGCGTCAGTCATGAGAGGCTCGTTTCTGTAGGCGCTCCGGGACAATGCAGTAACATGATCATGACCGGAATAGATCCTTGATGAGCATCGCAGGACCAATCGATCCCCTTGGAAGCGCTACCAAGCTTTTTTGGCCCTGGGTGATCCGGAGAAACGCGACAGACATGATTCGTCTCGTCTTCGACGTCTAGCGCGGAAGGGGGGGCAAAGGGCATGAAGAAGAAAGACGATCAGATCGGATCAGGTGTTGATGGATTTGCGACACTGAGGTCTGAAATTAGCAACGGCGCCTAACCTGGGCTAGAATATAATCTCTCACTGACAGGCACTCGCCCTCACGGTTGAACCCGTTGTTGCAGAGTTGCAGACGATGCAGCAGTCCTTTGATCCAGCCCCATTCACGGCACACTCGAGCAGCTAGGGCTGTTAGTGTTTACTTTGGGTAGCTCAGCGATGTATCCCCTCCCGACCTATGAGAAAGCTGTCTAGCTTGCTGGAAGTGTGGATTTGGCACGCATTGGTGTTCAGCGACCAGCCGGGTAGACATTTACCTCAGCCAGGCGTCGCATGTTTATGTTTTAGGCGCCTGAGGAGTGAGTGTTGAAACATGGCCGCGTCCCGCCCTTGCCAGCCCTAGCAGATTCCTGAACGGCTGGGAAGAGTAGATCTGAAAAGCAGAAACTTACCCGGGCGGGCATGACGGTGATATTCCGTGAGCTATGTGCATGAAGCTTGATTAGTCTCGCTGAAGAATGTTCTATGAAAATTGATAGTAATTTTATATGACTGTAAAGTCCAAGATGCAGATAAGAAGGGTTTGAAGCACTGCGGCTCATGCATGGGACTGACAACAAACCCTTTCTATGAGCAGATCCTCCCGCCCGCCCAATGCTACGAGTTAACTACCTAATTAACCACCTTATTCATACCTATAGAAGTGTACTCTGTACATACAGTACTGTACCTACTAGACGTGACACAATTCATTGACGGACTTCTGGAAAATCTACCTGTCTGGTCAAGGGGCTGAGATTACTCGGGTCGACCAAGTCACCAACTCACCGACCTCACATTGTTCTTCCTTGGCATTGGAAAGGCCCCCCACTTCACCTTCGTCTCGTCTCTGGATCAAACAAAATCACAGCGTCGCCGTGGTTCCATCGCCCAACTAAGATAGTGAGTACCCATCAATTGATTATCGGTCCTCAGGGGAAAACCCGACCCCCGAACACGCATTAACCGTACATCCAACATTGCGACTTGCGAGACCGACATGAAAGTCACTCATGTCATGACATTAGATCAACAGCTTAAATTACCATACTGCCCTGAGAAAATACCCAGGTACGTAGCGACTTGTTCCATGATCTCATCCGGGTCCAAGCTCGTTACGTGTCAAGAGTGCCAGACCCGCAGCTGAACTGGTTTTTTCCCCTGCCGATTTCCGGACTATCTACCGGGGAGTTTTTGTTTTCGTCTTGTTTTTTCTCTGTTGCCTGAGGGGGGGGATCAACCTTGCTCGGGTTTGCAAGACGTTCTGACGGTCAGCATACAACAACGTTTCTGACAGGACTTTTTTTCTGTCTGTCTGCCACGATTTCACCGAAGCGCACAGAGAAATTTAGGTCAGGCCTAAACCCAAAGCAACCGTATGTGAGACAGATGGGGATCCTTTCCCCCCCCCCTCTTCGCCAGAAGAGATGAAGAGATTGATTAGATGAAAAAGGGTGGGTAGGCTGTGTTATCTCCGATGAATCGCAGTTCTTCAGTGGCCACCGACGGTCCCGGTTTCCACCATTCTATCCCCACCCCGACAGACTGAGGGAATATCGGGCTACGGATGCAGTCTTGGAATTTTTATCAGATGGAGGGGTTTTGGTCTACTACGGCTTTCGAAAGCGGGATGCCAATTAACCACCAAAGGACGGAATGGGGATGGAGGGGGGAGGGAGCTTGGAAATTACCTAACGCATTGAATAATAATATCACGACTAGACTAGACTAGACTGGATTGTGTGTGATTGCTCTCTGCTGGAACCAGGATTGTCCTTGCCACCATTACAACCAACAGGATCAGAAGCATAATGCATGCGATGTTGTACGCTGCTGGCATGGACAATCGGAGAGATAATCTGGTAGTGGTGGTGATGGTGGTGGTAGTGGTAGTGGCCAGGGTGCTTTGCTGCTTAACTTCCTTGAAGTCATCATGATCAGACCAAATGTGGTCCATGGTTAGTAGGTATCACCAACCAGTACCACAATCCGTATTTCTCTGATGACGTTTGTGATACCGATGTGTTTGGGGGTGTTCAGCTTCACTCGGATACCAAAAAAGCTCTCCCCAGTCTCTTACATTTCGACCGCTTGTCTAACTGCGGCAGAGTGCAAGAAAGCCGAGATCTAGAAAAGAGGTTGGCCTGACATGCGGGTCGCTTTTTGGCCCGCATGTCGCTGCTTGGCTAAAGTGTTTGGATTTCACGAGAGCCGCCGTCTTACTACGAGTGCTGAATGCCTTGTCTGATCTGCCGACCAGTAGAGAAGTGGCTCTTAGGGTTGAGCAGAGATCCAATGATGGTCTATAACCGTATAACGGGAGCTGGCCACATGGATACCCTTTCCTTCGGGCTCGGGTTTTCTTGAAGGAAAAAAAGTGGCTGTAAGTAGGGCAGGTTATTGTACGGTGCTCCGTATCTTATTTTGCTTATTAGACTGTTTTCTGATCACTAAGGTTTGGAAGCCTTCTGCTCCTTCGGTGAGATTGGGCAAAGGCTCGCTCGCACTCACATACTACCCATGTATCATGTACTGCACATGCACACTGCAGATACACCATCCAACATTGAACATGCAAGGTTAGTCTGCAAGCGGCTGCAGAATCTGTGAAATGCTGATCTCAGAACAACGCTAACCAACCCTACTTTGCAGACTTGCAGCTGGCATCATTTGTGCATCCTCCACGTTGGGATTTATTGTTGCGGCTTCCTCCCGATAAGCGGAGTATGTGACCACAGACTAAACTAGAAGTAAGTTAAGTACGGAGTCCTCTCGTAAAGGAAAAAAAGGGAAAAAGAAAAAAAGAAAAAGCGGAAAAAGGGAAACCAAAAAACCACTATCAATTTGTACTAGTCTCGATTGGGTTATCTCCATTGGAATTTGTCCCGGTAGTCGCTATTGTTCCCAATTCTTCTTTATTCTGGGTTGCCCCCCTTCTCTCTCCCCTTCCTCACTTCTCATTTCTCTCCGCTCATTTCTCTTTCACCCTTCCCCTTCCTCTCTTTCTACACCTTCTATATTCACTGTATCACCTACTATCAGATCCATTGATCTTGTGGTGTAGTCCGATAAGTGAATTGTCGGTTGTATCCCAACGCGACCGGTGTACTTTTGAGCGACCTTGGCACTGCTGCGGTCCGTATTCCCGCAGTGCCATCGATTGGCTGTCTTTGTTGGCCGAACCTGTGGCTTGGTTCAGCGGCAAAACTCGCGGATTTACTTAATCCCACCGCCTCTGTGGCTGCCTAGTGGGAGTACTCCCACCCTTGCTTCTTTCAGGGGCCCGTGATCGAGTCAAGAAGTCCCAGAAGGGGTAAGAAAAAAACCTCAAGAAGTTGCTTGGGATCGTGATTTCAGCCCAACGCAGAGGTTGGACTTTGGACGTTTTGCTGTCAGGTAAAGCCACTCCGACCCCTCTTCCGCCCTTACTTGCCCTCCACCGATCGCAAAGCTCATCGCATTCCTTTTTTTTTTAAGACCCGATAAGCAACGACCACTCTCACTCCTCAATCCCATGCCATTGACTCTTGAGGAGGTGTTCGTTCAGATTTAAAAATTCAGATCATCGTTCGCGTGTGCTAGTGCGATACGTACGGGGGCACTCTTTGGCGGATTCTCAACGCGTGGACCATCGCCCTCCCGACTAACTTCTCCTTTAACACCCGGTCCACACCGCTTCTTTGGACTCAATTGTCCAACTATCATAAGCAATCATGGCTTCGACATTGATTCCTCGCAAGTCGCGTACGACAGAGGAAGATCGCGATGCTGAGCCCGGATGGCTCAAGCGTCAAGTCACCAGCGGTCTACAGTTTATCTCCCGCCGTGCCTGCCTTCACCCGATTCACACCATCGTTGTAATTGCTCTTCTGGCCAGCACAACCTATGTTGGTCTGCTGGAGGGAAGCCTTTTCGACTCGTTCAAGAACCCGCGCAATGTACCCGGTCAGGTCGATGTGGACACTCTTCTTAGAGGCAGTAGGAATTTGCGCCTGGGAGAGAGTACCTCGTGGAAGTGGCAAGTTGAGGATGCTCCGACCTTCCAAGACTCTGAGGTAAGTATCTGCTTGATCGACCTATGTGCTTGTTCATGCGCTGATCCTTTCGGTCCGATAGTCCGCTCAGCACATGGCACTGGCTACATTTATCTTCCCCGACTCGGTTTCTAAGTCGGTGTCGACTGCCCCTCTAGTCGACGAGGTCCCAATTCCTGCGAACACATCTGCCCATCGGGTTCCCCATACACCCAACCTGTTCTCGCCTTTCTCCCATGACTCGTCTCTCGTGTTCACTCTTCCTTTCGAGCAGGTCTCCGATTTCCTGAAGGCCGTGCAAGAAATCCCCGAACCTTCAGCTGTCGCGGAAGAAGGAGAGCAGAAGAAATGGATTATGAGGGCAGCTCGTGGCCCGGCTTATGGCTCGACTGGAGCCCTCAAGCTGTGGTTCGCAGACGCATGGAACTCATTCGTTGATCTGATCAAGGTATTTCCTCACAAAATGCAACCAGCGCAACCAGCCCAGTGACTTGTTTGCTAATTGTCTTTAGCATGCTGAGACCATTGATATCGTCATTATGACCTTGGGTTACCTCTCTATGCACCTCAGCTTTGTTTCCCTTTTCTTCTCCATGCGCCGTCTGGGATCGAACTTCTGGTTGGCTACCACCGTGCTTTTCTCTGGTGCTTTTGCCTTCTTGTTCGGACTTTTGGTAACCACAAAGCTTGGAGTCCCTATCAATATGCTCCTGCTGTCTGAGGGCCTTCCATTCCTTGTGGTGACCATTGGATTTGAGAAGTCGATCATCCTTACCCGAGCTGTCTTGAGCGCTTCCGTGGATAGGAAGCAAGGCGCCCGGGCTGGCAACAACCCCAGATCCATCCAGGATTCTATCCAGACTGCGATCAAGGAGCAGGGTTTCGAAATCGTTCGCGATTATTGCATTGAGATTGCCATCCTTGCTGCTGGTGCGGCTTCTGGCGTTCAGGGTGGCCTGAGGCAGTTCTGCTTCCTGGCTGCTTGGATCCTGTTTTTCGACTGCCTCTTGTTGTTCACCTTCTACACTACGATTCTCTGCATCAAACTTGAAATCACCCGTATTAGACGCCATGTTGCGCTTCGCAAGGCTCTCGAGGAAGATGGGATTACGCAGCGTGTTGCCGAGAACGTGGCTTCCAACAATGACTGGCCGAGAGCTGGATCGGAGTACAATGGTAACAGCGAGACCAGCATCTTTGGCAAGAAATTCAAGTCCAGCAACGTCCGTCTCTTCAAGATTCTGATGGTTGGCGGTTTCATCTTGATCAATGTGGTGAATTTGACGGCTATCCCTTTCCGGGATTCCGCTAGCATTCCCCTTCTGTCGCGCGTTTCCAATGTTCTGGCTCCCACCCCCATTGACCCATTCAAGGTCGCTGAGAATGGTCTGGATTCCATCTATGTCGCCGCCAAGAGCCAGATGCAGGAGACTGTCGTGACAGTTATTCCTCCCATCAAGTACAAATTGGAGTATCCCTCTGTCCACTATGCTGCGCTCGGGGAGAGCGCAGGATTTGAGATCGAGTACACCGACCAGTTCCTTGATGCTGTTGGTGGACGTGTTATCGAAAGCCTTCTGAAGAGCATTGAGGACCCGGTTATCAGCAAGTGGATCATCGCTGCCCTGACTTTGAGCATCATTCTGAATGGATATCTCTTCAACGCGGCCAGATGGAGCATCAAGGAGCCCGAAGCTGCACCCAAGATGGAAGCCCCGAAGCCCAAGGTATACCCCAAGATCGACCTGAACAACCAGGATGGTCCCACGAGGAGCGCCGAAGAATGCGAGCTTTTCCTGAAGGAGAAGAGAGCTGCCTTCCTATCGGATGAGGAACTCGTGGACCTCTCCCTGAAGGGCAAGATTCCCGGTTACGCTTTGGAAAAGACCATGGAAAATGAAGATCTTATGAGCCGCCGTGACGCTTTCACTCGCGCAGTCAAGATCCGTCGATCTGTCGTGGCCAGGACTGCTACCACCTCTGAGTTCAGTGGCTCTTTGGAGGCCTCCAAGCTCCCCTACAAGGATTACAACTACACCCTGGTTCATGGAGCTTGCTGCGAGAACGTCATCGGTTATCTGCCTTTGCCCCTCGGTGTTGCTGGTCCCATGCTCATTGACGGTCAAAACTATTTTATTCCTATGGCGACAACCGAAGGTGTCCTGGTGGCTAGTACCAGTCGAGGTGCTAAGGCTATCAACGCTGGTGGTGGTGCGGTGACTGTACTGACTGGTGACGGTATGACCCGTGGTCCTTGTGTCGGTTTCCCTACTCTTGCCCGAGCCGCAGCCGCCAAGGTTTGGTTGGATTCAGAGGAAGGCCAGCGCGTTATGACTACTGCTTTCAACTCCACTAGCCGCTTCGCCAGACTGCAGCACATGAAGACTGCCCTTGCTGGTACTTATCTGTACATTCGGTTCAAGACGACGACAGGTGATGCCATGGGTATGAACATGATCTCGAAGGGTGTCGAGAAGGCACTCAATGTCATGGCTACTGAGTGTGGCTTTGACGACATGGCTACGATCTCTGTTTCGGGTAACTTCTGTACGGACAAGAAGGCGGCTGCTATCAACTGGGTTGACGGCCGTGGAAAGTCTATCGTGGCCGAGGCTATCATTCCTGGCGATGTTGTCCGGAATGTGTTGAAGAGTGATGTCGATGCCCTCGTTGAGCTGAACACCAGCAAGAACTTGATCGGAAGTGCCATGGCTGGAAGTATTGGCGGCTTCAACGCCCATGCATCCAACATCGTTACTGCGATTTTCCTTGCTACCGGTCAAGATCCTGCCCAGAACGTGGAAAGCAGCAGCTGTATCACTACCATGAGAAAGTGAGTCGACACCCTCAAAGTCTTAACATATGATGCTAATCTTTTGTAGTTTCAACGGCAACCTTCAGATCGCTGTGTCGATGCCTTCCATCGAAGTCGGAACTATTGGTGGTGGCACAATCCTCGAGGGACAGTCCGCCATGCTGGACCTCCTCGGCGTGCGTGGCTCCCACCCGACCAACCCCGGCGACAACGCCCGCCAGCTGGCGCGTATTGTCGGCGCGGCTGTGCTTGCTGGTGAGCTGAGCTTGTGCTCTGCCCTGGCTGCCGGCCATCTTGTCCGGGCGCACATGGCGCACAACCGTAGCGCTGCCCCGACCCGCTCGGCCACTCCTGTTTCTGCTGCCGTTGGTGCTACCCGAGGCCTCACTATGACCTCGTCGAAGTGAAGTCCCATGCGCTCGGTTGCCTTATGAATTGCATGTCCCCCAATCCTCCTGCCACTGAGCAGAATCTCGCCCCCGCGCTCCTCAGACACCTGCTCGCCCGTCTTCTTCTGCATACGACACCGTTCTGGCTATCTGGCCCATGATTTAGTTGGGATAATTCTGGCCATTTCCCCCTTCCGCCGACGGGCTTTTTTTACGACTCATACATTTACTACCTGCATACGCACTGGTATTTTATCCGGGCATTCTGCACATCATGTCGGTTTTTTTCTAATTGAGAGGAGGAGTTTACTTTGGTTGTGAAGACAGGTCTGTTGATAGACGGAGAAGAAGAAAAGCGAATGATGAGTTCATTCGCATGTATTGCACAACCTATACAGCTACCTGACTGTAGTTACAATATGATGACGCAATGTCACCTGTTTTTTTTTTGCGTACAGAACTGGGGAGGTTCAATGCATGTGGCATGTGATGAAATTTATTTCTGTTACCAGATTTCATTGCCATCATGCTCATAGCCGTAAGTCGCGCCTTTTAAGGCAAAGGATGATTGAAGGCGCGCTCAAGTTGTAGGTTCTTCTATTGACATGCCACTGTCGCTATACTAGATACAACGCATTCTTTGTGGAATGGATGAATGGACACCGGCACTCTGTGAAGCTTCCGAATCTGGGTTCCACGAGAAGCCTACGAAGTATGCTCCTAATTTGAACTGCACCGCTTCCCTAAGGCGGAATATCCAGCCCGACCCGCCACCTCTTGACAGTCTTGTTGAAGAGGCACAGAAAGAGCCCACTGAAACCAGCTGACGAAGGGCTCCTGCCCGACAGCACGTAGGGAAGATGGACTCAAGAGGCGACACGAAGGGGGGTGCTTGCTGCACGTTCTGACGAAGGATGGGTTCTAGATGAGGCAAGTTCCAGGACGGCATCTTCGTGTATGTGAAATCATGCTTGCAAGCCTCGGTGACGTGTTCCACGGTATTTTCAATAATTTCATTATGTTCGTTGTGGTCGGTACTGCCAGTAGGTACTGTACACAGGGGGAACATGATCCTTCCACAGCGTATTCTCGTCTTTTTTTATTTCGTTTTTTTTTTTAAGGGCTCTTGCTTTTCTCAAATAGCAGCCGCACGCGGCGTCGGCAGCTCAAGATCGATTTGCCATAACGGGTGCGTGGGAAAGTCCTCGCTGCAGCCTTGCACGGCGGCATTCACGAACAACGTCTGCTCCCCGCCCCCAGGGTGGGTTAACGGGATCGGGTCCCCCGTGCAGTGGCTTGTTTCCATGACCGCCGGGGCCGTCTGCTTCCCTGGATGTTGATCCAGCCGCGCAAGCTTACTGAGGATGGTCGATCGGCCGTGGTCGATGGCCGTGAAGTGCGATGGCTCGTTTCGGGTGGTGGTCACACCATCCTGACTTCGATCTTGAGGATGAGGGCGGGTTTCTGGCGGCGGCGGCCGCCAGTGCGCGACCATCGCCCCCCACCCTTCGTGGATGTGTCCAAAGCAATGCATTCGGGGTCGGGCGCGGGCGATGGCCTTGAACAGGTCGGGGCAGCCGGCGCGGCGTCCGCACCCATGCGTAGCACTAGTAGTGTAATCCATGATCCCGCGCGGCGGGCCGTGGGTGATGACCACATCGATTTGATTGCTGCTGCTGCTGCCGCTGCTGTCGAGCTGGAACTCGTGGCTCGTGTCCGGGTGGTATTGGAAGCCCCAGTCGCCGCCGAGCGAGGGGGTGTACGGGCTGGCGTAGACGGTCAGCCGCGCGCCGTTGGCCAGGCGGAAGACATGGATGCCTTCGTCGAGCAGGGTGATTCCGCTGGTTTGCTGGAGGTCGTCGGTGAAGAGCTTCCTGCGGACTTCCCCGTAGTCCCCGTAGACTTGCCGCACGAGGCGGCGGTCGTCTTCTCTGTGGTCGAGGCCGCTGGATTTGACTTTCTGTTGGAAGGTCGGGGTGTCCAGGGTGAAGTCGTGGTTGCCGGGGATGACCAGCTTGAGGGGCGCGTGGAGCTTCTGGAGGAGCTGGATCGTGGTGCGGAATTCGGTCAGGTAGGAGCTGTCGGTCAGGTCGCCGCAGTGGATCACTACGTCGGCGTGGTGCTGGGTGTAGCACTCTTCGGGGAGCTCGTGGCCGTGGGTGTCGGAGAGGATGAGGAAGCGGGTTTTGATGCTGGATGGGATGGAAGGTTCCATGTTGGCTGTGAAGGATAGTTCTAGTACTTGATGATTCGAGGAATAGTTTGATCGATGACAAGAGGAAGAAGACGACGAATGAGGAATGAGGAACGAAGAACGAGAGAAGAGGATGTCAAAGAAGATCTTGGAGTCACAAGGGTAAGTATGCCCTAATCATGTTGCAATACACGGATCTGTATTCCAACACTACACCACAAGTACGTGCTACGGTGGATGTGTGGGCAGGTCAGTCATGATGATCCAGATGTTGTATTCGACGATAATATACAGAATACTTATATAAGAATATTTTAGAAGAATAATTTGTACAAAGGAGAGAAAGTCCCCGCCGTCCCCTCCTCCAAGAATTAACGAGCATCATTCGCTAAGGATAGCGAACAACAACTGCTTCACGCAGAAGCCAAGTGAACTCACTGGAGTATATTGCGAGCGAGGCTGGGGAGGGTCTGGGGGCGGACTCGATCGGTCGACAAGAATGAGCGTGTCGAAATATCATACAATGATATATGGTATTCTTTATGATGTTGATTCTAGCAAACCCACGGCTATGCGAGGGAACGCGAGGTTGTTTTCCTGGACGGTTGTAGACGCCTTCCTAAAGCACTGTTTTGTCCATTGCTCTTTCCTCCGGATTCAGTTCCTGTATACAGAGATATTGTGAATGCATTAAGTCCGAGTTGCTCCTACCTCGACAGCAGTCTGCTATTTTCCACTCAAACAAGCTACCCAGGAAGCTTTCATTAGGATACAAACCATGATGAAGGGAGAAGCAGAAAACAATGTAAGGAGCTGCTTCTTATGTCGTTTGTACTGGAGATCTAGTAACATAGTTCCGATACATGCTGTGTGGGGCACGCTTAGAAGATAGATAAGTGGAGTATATCCCAAGCAGGATTGAGGGTTGTTCCATATGAAAGAAACATCCTTGATTAGAGGATTTCAGCCATCAAGATTGTTCCTAGAACTTGACTCTGCATCACAAAGAAGTATGAGTCTTCTACCGAGAATACGTCTCTATGGAATCAATTTCAAGATGGTCTACAAAAATTCATAGATCACCGATGTCATATTGTGCATGATTTAATTAAAGTGTAGAGAAATCGATTACTTCCGTCGCCTTTTGAGAACTACTATGGTTCAGTCAACTAAAGTCCCATACAGGCTCATATAAGATACTACAGCTCATAGAATTGGTGGGACATATCAAGCCTCAGCAAGTAATAATGTATGGGCTGGCTTCATTGATACTCAACACCAGAAATTGCCTCTCGTCGCCTTTGAGAGAGCTACGGCCAACGAAGTTTAATGTCAGAAATCGTGTAATGCACTCTGCACAGCGTTCTTCACTTGCTGTATTTCACACTTTCCCCAACAAACGGGATCCTCCTCTATCCATAACATCCGACCGTATCAAGAGAGTGATTCCCTCAACAATAGTTGTAGTGTCGTCTCTTGGGCCTGGAAACCGGTTGACGTTTGTTTGCCGTCCGGAAAGCCCATGGCTCGGCAGCTGACTGCCGAAGACTGATGGAGACCATTTTGGATAAGTCAAGGAGAATGAATATCGAGTCCAACGAGATGAGTATGCGTTCTTGTTGCCTACCGTTACAATGCTACGGAGTATTGTTGAAGTCACAATCAAACTGCACGGAAGTTAGTCGGAGGTAGAACCTTCTAGCCTTCTGTGCCAACCGGTTATACATAGACTGTGGAGTCTCCACGCTACGAATTGGCGGCCGCCCCCTGAGATGCTGCCTACGCCCTAAGCTTAGGGGGGTGGAAAGAGAAAAAGTAAGTAAGTACCGTAACCTTCAAGCCTAGGTACTTACCTTAGTGAGCAATAATCACTCAGAAACAGTACACCAATCGCAATCCAAGATCCCAAGCAATAGCTCAAACCTAATGACCATAGACTTAATCCACTGTCTTCTTGTTTTCTTCGACGCATGAACAGTTTTTGCCATCCTTACCCATACGACCACAAAGAAGACAGAAGGAAAAAAAAACACAGACCTAGGATAAGCCGATCCAAGCTCTGAAGGGCGCATTGGGTTCTGGGTTCTGGACCCCAAACGAATTCGAACGTGCGCGGGACTCGCAATCTCGGCAGGCCAACAAGTAACAACGAAAGTTAGTCGTACCTCCTGAACTAACTTAGCAGCGAAAAGTCTCGACCAGATGGACGGATGGGCAGGTGGAGAGCCGGTTGCAAAAGTGGTGCTTGTGCTCCCTCCCCTCCCCCCTTTGGGGCTTGAAGTGAAGCGCACGTTGGGGGCTGGCCAGTTTTTTTTCCTTTTTATCGACACTGGGCTTGTCACTGATCATCCCTGGAGGGAAAGAGACTCCAGCCTCAAGAGGGTGGGTTTTGGCATTGATGGGAGGGAGAAGGGGGCAGGAAATGCTTGTTTTGTTTCTGTAGAGTCTAAGGGGTTGGTAGCGAAGAGGTTGATGGGTGGGTGGGTGAATGTATAAGTTACCTACTGGATGGGTGTGCCATGAATTATGCAGTGCCTGTTCGGCAGGTGCTGGGAGCAGCCACCGCCACACGGTGTGCGTTAGTTCAGAACTGATCGATCAGTTCCGGGCGGAGGAGTGGAGTTCAATATGAATTCCTGGACGGACGCACTACGGAGTATTCGTAGTTTCGTACCTACATTAGCTGGGATGATGAAGCATTTATTTTTAGTCGAGGATGTGACTGGAAATGATCGCCTCTGCACCTGGAGTGTTGACGCCGCGTTCGAAGTACAGTACTCAGACTGTACTGCACCACACTTATAGAGGGAGGAGGACCAGTAGTAAACAGACGATCGGGAACTCTTATCAGTCTGGCGGGTGTCTATCTGGTCTATCCGGGGTCAATCTGAGACAGTCGAGCAGCTACTCCGCATCATTTCTGACTTGTTCAACTTGCAAAGGAGGGATTGAGACGGAGGAGAGAGAGAGGTAGGAAAAGAGTCTGTGCCTGTCACAACGACGGAGCAGTCGGAATTGAGATCGGACTGCTACTGAAGTACCGGTAGGAGTGCACAGCTCAAGAGCTAGGCAGACATTGTGGACTGAACCATACGATACCCCTTTTTGTGGTACCTTACGGAGTACCCATTATTACCTATTGAGTATCCTCCGTATTCGTAAATAAAAACACCTGCGGCTGGGCTGGTGCTTCTTTTGCTTTGCCGCAGTCATTAATCTTCCGGCTAGACTAAGTTCAGTCCACTTTCTTTCTTTCGGTGGCTCAACCTCCATTCACTTACTGCTAATTTCACTCTTACCACTCTTTTTCCCACTCCACCCATGGACTATTTCTCCTTGAGGCTGTTTTCCAAGGTTCCTCCTGGTGGCTGCGACTTTTTCCCCGGTGGCTTAATTTGGCCAGCTTTAATCTGATCCTAATCCAACCTTTCCTGTTCTCAGTGTTTACTTCATCTTTGCTGGTCGTCTCTTCTCCATTATTGGTGCCCGTGCCGACTTGGCCGAGAAACTACTTTCCCTTCCCCCCCC